TTTTGTTGACGCTGCATTATTATGCAGAAACCATTGGATATCTTTAAGACTGATTATTCACTAATCATCACATTTACACCCTTAGAATAAAAATATTTAAAAAAATTCTAGTAATGAAATTTCTTAGTATTAAAAAAAAATTAAAAATCATTAAATTTTTTTATATTTTATCAAACTAAATGCATAAGCTTTAAACACAAATTTATTTGGGAAATTTAATCTATTAAGAACACCCGGGCTAATCAATAAAGAATCTCCACCATCTATCATTTGGCTTATGACGGGATCTTGCATAGAATGAATTTTCACTTCTTTAGCAAAAATTGGTGCATCAAAAGGTTCCTTCATTAAAACGAAATTCTCCGCGACTGGTAATTGCGTTTCTTATATTGGTAATCTGCTCATGCAGTCTGCATTTTTATGTACCGTCCCATTCTGGTATTTCAAACTGTAATTTAGCTCAAGAAAGTCATTGTCCAACGCTGAACCCTTGCCGCTATCATGGCTGAAATGGTTTTTCCGCTCGCTAATAATATAAAATTATCCATATAAATACTGATGTAGCTTCTTTAGGGCACAAATGATAGATAACGCATCCCTTTCAATTTGAGAACAATTTCTTTCAGTTAAGGATAATATCCTTGAGATAAAGGTAACTGTTCTTTCACTACCATCTGAGGTAATATGGGCAAGCACAGTCCCAATTATGCAAGAAGATGCATAATTGGAATTTTTGCAATAGGATCAACCTTTGCAATTTTGATCCTATTACAAAGGTTAATTTTCCTATTAAAATAAAGGAACAATCTAATCTATGAAACAGAGTGCATTCTCAAATTCAGCTACCCAAAAATGATTCACAACACCAACAATAAAAATGTTAATTAGTAAACACTCAGCAGAATTTCAAGTCATACTAGGTATATTAAAAGACACGGTAATTCAAATAGGTTTACACCAAATGTAAAACCAAAGTTTAATACTGTACCATATGCATTTTTGGAAAAAGTAAATGCAGGACTCGATTCTAAATGAACAGCTTAAATTGTTCCGGTACTGAAAAAAGATGGTATGATACGATTGTGTGGCGAATATAAAGAAACTGTAAATCAGACAGTTATATGCAACAGTTATCATCTTCCAAGGACTCGAAATTTGTTTGCAACCTTGGCTGGAGGGCAGAAATTTAGAAAACTAGACTTGGTTTTTGCTTATCAGCAGTTACTTTTTGATGACCATCCTCTTTTGTTTGAGCATACACAGCAGATAAAACTTTGTTCTCCAGAAGTTATTAAAAATAAAAAAGAATATTGGCCTTCTAGAAAGAATTTAATAAAGTGTTAAAATAATAAATTTGATTATCTTAAAAGTTTTTCCAGATACACCATATAAAGCAAATTTATGAAGAAGACCTGTATGTCAAATTTTATCAAAAGGTTTACATATGTAACTTGTAAAAAATGCAGTTAGAATCATTCAGTCACACCAGTAAGTTATTTGAATAAAAATGAGATCTTATAAGTTTGTTGAATAAAGATTTAAAGACCTTGCTAATAATAGAAAGAAGACTAGTTAACTCTTTTTTAAAGTTGTAGAGTGTCAGAGTGTTCTACAGAGGTTTTTAAAACTGGAACCACAGATGTCGTTTTCTAGCATGCAAGAAAACAAGATTTAATTAAATACTTATTAAAAAATTCAGAGAGTATTAAAAAGAGTTCTAGAGAACACTTATTTTAGATTTTGATAGAAGTGTGAACCACAAGCCGTAGAAGAGTTTAGTTGAGCATTAAATTTAACAATGGATGCCTTACTGATTTGAATGTTTTACAATGGATTAACCTGTTTATTAGGAATAGCAGGAGAAGTATGACCATAAGATTCAAGATTCGAATCAAAAAAACTATTTGCAAATAGTTATATTTAAATCTTGGGAGATATAGTAAGATCAGAATTATTAATGATAATCTTCAGAATTAGAGATTGAATTTTAGACTTACCTTCGTTAATGACACATTGTTATGATAGATATTTAGAAAACTAAGAATAATGGAGATTACCATCAGACGTTCCCTTTTATATTAATTTCTTACAGTAATAAATAGGCATTTTTTATTGAATTTTTTTTTTTTAAAAAGTTGAAATTAGACTTCAATTGGATATAGCAGCTGCACAAGAAGGTAAAAACCATGGAGTATTTTGAAGCTTTAACCGACAATAAGTAATAAAAGCATTTATACCTATCTGTATCTAGGAGGTTAGGTAAGAGGTGTAAGAGAACAAGAAAAAAACTAAACACAAGCTAAGGTCAGACACACAAATTGCAAAGTGAAGGTAAGTGGTTAAGGTTTGCTAGCAAACAAAATTAAAAAAGTTAATTATCGGAATAACAGATTAAAAAATTCAGTGTGATGAACATTTTAATCACCAACAATAATAATTTTGGCAGAGGGGTTAAGAGTGGTCAAATTTACCATTTCCATTAAAAAATAAAACTTGATAAATTTGATCAGAAATTACATCTTAAAGAGTGTAGTCTTGGAAAAAAAGGAGAAAAATAAAGAACAAAGAGACAGATGATATAGTAAAGAGGTCGGAAGTGCATAAAAATATGTACTTCCGAATCAAATATAATTTCTAAACAAATAGGTGTATTGATATTTTATGGACATGTTTGGTTATTTTAACAATATTTTTGGTTACTTTGACATGGTTAAGTTTAAACAGAATTTGAATCATTCATAGATAGATCATCGCATCTCAAGCAACGAGGTATGCAATTGAGATATAATTATAGAAAGTTAAGTGTTACAGTGTTAAAGTGAAATTTTAAATATGTTTATGAGGGTTGTAATTGTAATATTTTAAGTATATGATTTTGTATAAATTGTGATTATAATTTTGTAAGAGCCAAGTTCTTATTGAATAAAGAAAAGAAAAAATTTAACTTAATGTTATATTTCTGAAGGAAAACTACAAGAAAAAGGAAAGATTTATGAGTAGAGTCATAAAGATCCGGAACTCATAATCATAGGCAAGAGACAATTTAACATAGGTTTACATCTACTCCAGTCTAATAGATTAAAGGGGTTATCTGAAGGGTGGTTTGATAAAAAAACAAGAACTTGAAGCTGAAAAATCACATGCTTCTGGAATTTTTACGACTTTTTTTTTCTATTTTTCTTTTAAAATATTTTTTTCTCAATATTTCATTTTCCACTATTTACCTTGGTGCTAAAATTTTCAGTATTTGCAGTAATTTCTTTAATCTAGAGAGTGAACTAAAATAAAGATATAAGATGCTGTGTTTACAGTGTTATAATTCATTTTTCATGATTTTTTCATGTGAACTCTCATTGAATAAAATAGTTCCAATAACCAATTTTTCATGTGAAAAATTGGTTATTGGAACTATTTTATTCAATCATTTTAAAAAACAAATTTTAATTTGAAAAAAAAAGTTATTTTGTGGTAAACCACAATATTTTATTTTAAATTAATTATTAAATATTTATTTACGTAAATTATTTTTTTTACGCTTTTTTTATTAAAAAATAATTTATTTAAGCTTTATTTAAATTTTGTTTAGGTTATTTTTTGATGAATTAATTTTTTTTTTTATTATGGTAAACAACCACAACTTGTCAATATGATATTTATTTTTGAGGTACCAAAGTTTTGTCTCGTTTTGGTTGGTTACTTAGTTACAAAAAGTATTTGAAGTTTCAATTCACTGCTAACTAGTTGTGAAATGAAACTTTACTTGTGACAAAGTGACAAAGTAACCACATCGAGTAAAAAGTTTTGTACTTTAAAAATAAGTATTATATAAACGTAAACAAAATATGGTTGTGTTCCAAAAATAAAAATCATCCAACTGAAATGTATCAAATGTTCGTCTTAGCAACTATGTTTCTCAAAAAACCGACTATAACTCTTTTTAATTTGAAAATTACCTTATTTGGGAGTGTGAAGGGAAGCTTTTTAATAAGATAATTCAAAAAAGAATTATTGGGTTGAGGCATGAATACTGTAATATTTAAAACATAAATTTTTAGACAGCAAAAGAATTACATTTTTTTAGGTGTTTTTGTTTACAAATCTAATAACTTTGTTAACCTAATACCATTTTATAATTAAATTGTTACATAAAAACCAAAAACATTTTGGTTAATTCTTACTGACAAACGCCGATGTTGTGTGTCAGTTATAATAATATTTTGCGAAAATTAGCTCCTTATACCAAAAAAACTATAATACTCTCAAATACTGCTACCTGTAATCCCCTTTTCTTTCTGTTAGTTTCTTGGTTGTTCTGCTCACATGATTATTTTCATGTGCATAAAGTAAAAAATTTAAAAAAAAAAAACGTCTCTGAAAAACTTTAAATCGAAAAAAATCAAAACACTGATTTGAGATTTAATTATCAAATCAAATCTTAAATCTTAGCTTAAAATCTGGAATCATGATGATTTTAAAAATTTCTGCAATTTCAAAACAACATACACTTTATCACATATAGTTGAGGACTTCTAGTTTTAAACTCACAACCAGTTTGTTGTACTTTGAAATTATCTGGGTAAGAACCAGTGTTATTGATGTCTTTTTGATTCAAAACTTTAAAAATTTGGATGCTTTAAAAAGATATTAATTAATATTATTAGTTTTTTTTCTTCCAAACATTTTAATTTAAAAGGAATATTATTATGGAGTATATACTGGTTCTTGTCCGGATAATTTTCACGTATATCTCAATTTTAATTGTGTAGTTTTTAAATATATTTTTTAATAAAGTAATTTCTTTTTGCATTGCAAATAAAATGTAAAAAATCTTATTAACATTAATAATCATAACTGATTAAAAAAAAACTTCTGAGAAAATATAAAAATTTTATTATAAAAAAAATAAATAATAAGTTTCAAATTATTTACAATGAGTTGTTTAAATTGATATTGAACTGTATTATTTATTTACATTGATAACTTCTACTAGGTACATTGTTAACAATTTGAACTGGTGCGTTCTTTTGGAAATCAACAATAAAAAATGCAAAACAAATTGTGGATACAAAAGTAACGGCGAGCCGTATTGGAAAAAAGCGTCAGAAACGGTATACTTTCTTTAGAGTGTAGTTATTTTGTTTTCATAATACTTGAAGACATTTTATATTAATTGATTAACAGTTCAACTTTTCAATATCCTCAAAGTTAAAACACAGTTGCAATATTAATAAAATCATATTTTATGAATTCATTTTATAGTCATTCTTCTATATGACGTTTAAAAAGTCAACATTATTTAACGCATTTATTACCAACCATATATAAAAAAAAGTGTATAACTTATTTTAATTCAGCTAACATCAGTATTTTTTAATTAAAAAATAGTGCAAGGGCGGATCCATAGTAGGAGGGAGGGGACGATGGGGGTAATTGCCTCCTCCCCTCAATTTTCCTTAGCTAATTTGGAAAGAATTTTATTTTCGTATATTTATATACTTAACAAACGTGTTGTTTGAAAACGAAAGTGAATTAAGAAAACTTTAAAAAAAATTAAAAATTTTAATAAAGTTGCGTAGTGCAAAATTAAAAAAAAAAGTTGGACTACAGACTAATATTCTGAAAAAAATTAACTAAGAAAGTTTTTTGATTAGTGGGGTTGTCTGCTCACAAATCATTAAACCTGAAAACTGTTACCCTACTTTACAAGTTTTTCTGGATTCACCGAATCAGAAAAACTTAAAAAATATCCCTCCTTTCCTTTTTACTAGATGGTCGGGATCCGCACCCTGCAAAAGTGTTTGTATATATTTCCTAAAATCATAACCACTGACTATGATGTTTGAAAGGTTTGATTTTAATTTAGCACATAAATATTAGTTAAATAATTGCTGATTTTAATTTAGCACATAAATAATAGTTTGATTCAAAACTCAATTCTAATACGAAATAAAATTCTTTCCAAATTGACTCATTCTATCATAAGTCACATATGCCACTTAACTTAACTTAACTTGGTAACGAACACCCTCTCACCAAGAAGTAACTAAATTGTGATACGACTGTTGTTTTATGCTTTTATTTTTAAGTTTGCAGCGAGTGCTGAGGGAACAGCATATGTAATGCTTAATGGGAATAATCCAAAAAAAGCCGTTGATCCAACTAGGTATCTAAACATATTTATCAAATAATAAAATGTCAAATAAAAACAATTTTTGAACGTATACTTTTTTTACTTTTATATTATTTGCATGAAAATTTAATAAAAAATCTGTTTAAGTAATTTGGTTAAATGTTTTTATTTCCGTTCCAAGCATTTTTGCACAAGTAGAACTACCTGTCTTAAAGAAAAAATCTAATATTGAACAGTTGGTTTTTTTTGTGGTCAACGATCAAAATACAAAGGCAAAGTAAGTTTTTTTTATATTATTATTAATAAACAGTTTTTGGAAATTTTATTAACGAACATTTTTTGTTAATTTTATTTAGGCAATTTTTTTTTATTGTTAAACAACTTTTTCTTTGAATTTCTAATTTCAAATTTAAACATTCAATATTATTTTTCTTTAGAGAAAACTGTAGCAAAGGATCAGTAAAAAATTTAATGACCAATTTAAAAAAAGAAAAGAAAAAAACTGAATGTTACGACAATCCTAAGTAATTTTTTTTTTAATTTGTTAATGCTGTGTATATGTTAGTGTCGCTTACTTAATGTAAGTTGGGGAAGGGATGGGCGGTTAAAATTTTAGTCTAAATCTAATAAAAGAGGCGTACTATTAAAAGGGTAGCTGGAGATTTTTTACAAAGAATTTTACACATCCTAACATCCAGTACAATATTAGTCCGCATCTGCTATGCTATCTTTTTAACTCAACTTTTTCTGACTTTCATTCTAATATCGTTCGTTCTCCTTAAACTTACTTACTTTTGCTCTTTCGAAGCAATATAATATTCTCAAGAGATCTGAGCATGTCTTTGCAAGCCTTGGTATGATCTCTATGTGGCAATTAGCCGGAGAAGAATAAAAACTACAATACCAATAAAACAGTTTATATATAGAGTCGCTTGCAGTCGAATGCGCATTTTTTAACACCTGTTTAATCATAATTTCAACAGGACTTTAAATGCTTAAACTATGGTGAGAAATAAGCGGAAACCTAAATTGTCGACAATTTTTAAAGCCTGATTTACACTGAAAGTTTTTATTCTAATCAGTGACTAAAATATATTTTTTTTGATTTTTTTTTTAGTTTTAATAGGTTTTTATATAATTCATAACAAGTAAAAATTAATAAATGGATGTCTTAATAATAAGGTCTTAATAAGCTTGTATAAACAAATTTTTATATATAAATATATATATATATATATATATATATATATATATATATATATATATATATATATATATATATATATATATATATATATATATATATATATGTATATATATATATATATATATATATATATATATATATATATATATATATATATATATATATATATATATATATATATATAACACAATCGCCAAGAATAGAATATTCATTTGTATCTCAATGGTAAAAGGAGCACGAACAACTGAAAACACAGTTTGATAACGAAACAGAAGTAATTCTCGAATCATCAGGTTGGAGAGATGATATGAAATTTGTGTTTCATCTTACTCGAGTTCTTATTTTTTGAGGAAAAAAGACATTTGGCTGGGCAGACCATTGGTTTACAGACCAATTGTACCACGAAAACAACTTTAACAACTTGCCTAAAATACTGAATCCATACAAAAAAGCTTTAAGGTCATTAAAAAATCACTGGAAGCGAGAACCATATATACTTTTTTTTTTTTTTTTAAGTTGATTAAGGTGCCTAAGAAGTTCTTACGGTCATATCACAGAGCATTGCGGAAGAGAATTTAATAGGAATTTCACGCCTCCTTCCTAACTGATGTTTCTAAACCTGCCTAGAGGTGGGGTTTGAACCACGGATCTTACGTTTCTGAGGCAAATGCGTTACCACTTCGCCACGGCTGCTTTATATACTATAGATACCCAGAAGTAATCAGTGTGTAGAGCGCGCAATCAAAGTAATGGAGGAAATTTATTTATCATGCAAAAATATAGACAAATTGCACCTTCGATTTCTACTGTGCAACAAGCAAGAGCAAGGTCCATGGTCTGAGTCATTGTTGGATTGAAAACTTATTGTATTATATGATGATGACATTCTAAATGCATTTGAATACATAGTAGTACTTATGTCAAAACTGATTTTTCAATGGTGGGGTGAACTTTTTTGAAAAGATATGCAAATAATAGTTCATTTCGTGCTTTTTAGGTAAAAGGTCATTAAACTACAGAACAGGAGCATGGGTTGATAAAAACTCATAACCCTAATGAGCACCTTTGTAATATGAGCATACTAAAAGATTTCTAAAATGTAAGGAGTGAAGTTAAAGTTGCTTTGTATTTTTTGAATCTACTTTATGTGGTGACAACAGAAATACGTATAATTAGCGTAAATTTATATGCCGTAATTAGCGGTTCTCATCTAATTAAAACGCCTATAAATTTTTGGAGTTGTAAAAATATTATCATCACACATGAATAAATATATTATACTATTAATATAGTAGCGCGAAATTTTGAGACTAAAATAATGAAATTTAACTTTTTATAAAGAAAAATACGTTAGCTAGATGCCCGTTTTAATTTTGTTTGAAAAACAATGCATAGAAACATTTTTTTTTGACTTTATTAAAAGATACCATTTTTGTGTAATATGAGCATGCTCAAGTTACCAAGTGTTTTCCATTGAAATTACCTAGTTTAAAATTGTAAAACTGCAGTGGTTTTAATTTCTTTTTGTATAAACACAAAACATTTTTTTTAAATACTTTTACAATACTATATATATTTCTATAATTTAAATTCAAAAAATTTATCGTTTTTTAATTTTATCGTTTAAAGGTTTGAGCAAATAAAATTAAACAAATTTTTTTTGTGTGTGTGTAAAACAAAATAAGATTGTTTCAATAAAAAAATTGGTATAAAAATTGACCCTTTAATGATAACTTTTGTTAATAACAAATCATTATATTCCACTAATTAGTTTTAACTCAAGATGATATTTTTTTACATAATGTTATTTTTTTGATCTAATTAAAAGTGCTCATATTACCAAGAGGTATGGGTAATATGAGCAATTTTGCTACTTTTTTAAAACGTGCGTGTTTTTAAGAAACAATTTCGGGTGCCCAAATACCTATCTATGTATCTATCTATCTCTTTATCCAATTATATATATATATATATATATATATATATATATATATATATATATATATATATATATATATATATATATATATATATATATATATATATATATATATATATATATATATATATATATATATATATATATATATATTGAAAATTATTAAAAATTGGAATAAAGAGTTTGATAAAATTCTTATACAAACAAAACAATCTTTTTTTTACATATTTTATAACATGTTTATTGATTACGTCCTTAAGGGGTTAGTAAAAAGTGTTTTAATTTAGATTTAGGCGTGTCTTGAGAACATAAAAAGGAGCAGTGTTTAATTAGGTTTGCCGATAACTTTAATTTTTTTTTATTGAGTTAGCGAAGAAACATTTCTAATAAGATACTGTATTCAAGTGCAGGAGGGGAGTGGGGATGCTTATTTGCTTCTTAGCGCAGCGGACTTGCTCGTAAAAGCTCATGTTTTGGAACTATGGAATTGAGAGAGAGTTGTAACCACAACTAAAAACAGCCTCCTCGAGTGTAATAGCTTTTTTAACCTTGGGGTGGTGAATTAAAATTTTAAAAAATATATACATTGCAAAGTTCACTAATTTAAGAGTGTCTTGTTAGGCGGGTGCTTATCCCAATGCGCATAGTAAACCAAACATTAATTTTTTATATTTCAAAGAATATAAATATATAAACTGATATATATCACAAAATATATACCATATAAATTATATAAAGTGAGGGGAGAGTGGGGAGAAGTGGGACACATAAATTTTTTTTTATGGTTATTGCAATATCTTTATTTTTTAATTTGATGTATAAACTGAATCAAACAAGCTTTTATGAATAAACCATCTTTTTAGGTACCGAATCAATCCCCTTAGGTTTCCAGCTATTTATAAATGAGTATATAAATTTTTGCTTTTAGAGAAACCGTGCCATTGCGGTAAAGTGGGACAAGTGTGAGTAGAAGTGGGACAAATAAATTTAAATCAACATTTTAACGCAAATTATTAAATAAAAAATGATAAAACCATAAAATCACCGATAAAATAAGCATAAAATGTCCTAATCGACATAAAAATGTTCAAGAGCTTTCACAAATTTAAATAATTAAATGTCGACGGGAAGAACCGTGACATAAATATTTCTTTATTCTGTCCCACTTTACCCCAATGTTAACACTTTTTAAAGGTACATTTCTAAATTAGGGCTTCTAGAGCACACAGGGAAACAAAGCAATTTCTGCTAAATAGAGAGGAAGAAATTTAATTGTTTACGTTAGTAACAGTATTTAGGCACCACTACTAATTAGAAATTTCAGGCTTTCACTCTTCCATTTCATTATTTATTTCGAATTAAATCATCATTTTGGATTGAATCGTCATTTTGGATTAAATTGTCATTTTTTTTTTTTTTAGAAGATATGGAGAGGCCATCTGATTCGCATCATTATCAAATCCACCAAGATGTGATGCTTTGAGCAAATATTTAATCCATTTATAGAAATTATTTCATAAGAAAACTTTCTTTTATTTTTTAAATTGTTGACATCTACTTAGTTTAATATTACTACATATCAAGCTACCAAATATAAATTATTTTCTTTAAAAAAAATTTTCGAAAAAAAGGTTTTTAAGTATCAGAAAAAAGATTTTATTTTTAATTGCAGCTCTGATATTAGTTATTTAAAAAAAAAAATTTAATTTAGTTGTACTTTTTTGTAAAACAAATAAAAATACATGTATTTGAGTTAAAATAAAATTCAAATATTAATCAATGAAAATATTATGTATAAACAGTTATACAATATTTTAGATAAAAACAATATCCTTAATAGTAAGCAATTTGAATTCAAAAAGTGCCTCTACTGATGAACCAATTGCTCATCTTGTTAATAATTTTCCTGAGTTATTTAATGAAAATAAATTTTATGTGTTTTTACTGAGGCACAGTTTTACTAATGGCGCGATCACACTGGCTACGGTCAGTTAATAAATTTTAACAATTACAATTCAAAACTATTTAGCATAAAAAATTTAATTGTTTTAAGACTTATCTGCCTAAAAAAGAGCGACACAATTTTGTTAAGTAAAACAATATTAAATTATTAAACAATTTAGGGAAAACTAACAATATGAATATAGTTTTTGGGAGCTCCACAAGAATCTTTGCACAAGAATCTTTGCACAGGAATCTTTACACAAGAATCTTTGCACAAGAAACTTTGCACAAGAATCATTCCACAAGAATCATTCCACAAGAATCTTTCTACAAGAATCTTTCCACAAGAATCTTTCCACAAGAATCTTTCCATCAGAATCTTTTTTATATTGCATTTTATTGAATAAGCGAACTTTGCGATGTATAT